TATAAAAATCATATTGGAAAGTGGTTTGAAAGGGGGAGGGGGTAAGTGTCAATGGTAGAGACATCACAGTCATTTTTGAATGTTACTTCCTGATGAATGAACCATTTTCTTATAGAACTAAATATGAATATTGATTAAATCATTTTGTTTTCGGAAAGTGTAAAGGTATTACAATAATAGTTCATTCACCCTTGAAGATATCGAGCGCAAATGTAATCAGACTGTGAATTACTTTGACTGGAAAGAAAAATAAGACATTTATGGTTTACTCACGAATGAGTAAACATTACATCATTTTGCATTCATTCATGAAACTTATGATATTCCATTGTTTTCTTGGACAATTTTGTAGACTGGAAATTCTCCAGAACGTGAACGGTAGGATGATGATTATAAGGGTAATCTTGGCTACTGAGAAATTATGTTTTGCAAGAAATGAACCCAGTTATGTAGGGTCATGCTTGACGAGAGTTAATTAGTTATTTCGAAATTTCGATATTAAATTTAACTACTAATATATATTAGAAAACAAATATAACTATATTTTTCAAAATCCCGAATTCGACAATGTTGTTTGCACACGTACCCATTCATCCAGAAATGGGCCTCATCGCTGAAGATGGAATCGGATTCTCGTGCACACTCTCACAGATAGCGGTAATTTTTTCGGCAGATCCTGCATTTCGTCAACATACGTGTGTGGGACGATAGTTTTCTGAACCAGTGGACTCAAATTCATTCATCACATGGCGAATAGTCCTCTGGGTAGGACGATTATGGCGACCATAAAATGGGCGAAGCGCGCGGTACGTTGCCCGAACAAAACACCCATTCTAATGGAACAATTTTATTATTTGCGCGTGTTGTTGAATGCTATATCCGTTCATGGTGATTTGGCAAAAAATACTGATTAAATGACAACTAATTTGACAGATGTAGCTTCAACAAGACGGCTGTTATCAATTGTCCCTGTTGGAATTCCCGTTATAAAAGCCTATATTTGAAAAGAACACTTTCAGAGAGCTTGTTGAACGGAAATTGAAAATAATTGAAATTCAACTGTGAAGCTATGAATTTGCCTATCTGTGATTGTCCTCTACGACAGTGAGCTATGAATCTAGTCAACTGTAATCGGTCTCAATGTGTGGATAATTTTATTAGGAAATAAAATTATTCAAATCATCTAAAAGATGATTGGATTGTTGTTCTTTTAGATGATTTGATTTATAGCCAGTCTTCAAGTATGCCCACTGACTATACGTGAAAAATAAAATTATTCGTTAATTCTGTGTCATTAATATTGAAACACATGACGAAAAAGGACAAAACTGGAACTACTTTCAGAAAATTGAACACTTCGTACATGACAAAAAACTACTCTTTTTGTACCAACGTCATCTGTCAGACTTCATATCCGTCACTGACAGCTGATGCAAACCTCAGGTATACTGCACAAAAAGGAATGCTAAATGAAAGCAGGTTTGCAGAGTTGACATATATTGACACATTTTAGCTACTTACTCGACGGTGATTCATAATTGATGCTTTTTTTCAATAGTCATAAAAAAATAAAGTCTTATTTTCTGAAATATTAATTATTTAAGTAGTTCAATGAATGAAAGGTCAACACAACAATAAACACATTTAAATTGTGGTTTTATCCGATGATGCAATAATATGAACTCTAAAATAATACAGGCAATCATCATTTTCTATCATGCTTAACGAAGTGTTTTTTCTATAAACTTTTAATTTTCTCGTGAAGATTACATCAAAGTTGTGCAAACTACTATATTGACGTCTCAGTCAGAAGTAATTTCAGTTGAAGATGTTGAATATGGGTTGATTGAATGCACTCATGCATTGAAACATTTATATCAAAATAATCATAACTATTATAGTTTCCATTGAAGGAATATTATATTAATAACATTAAATGGGCTTGTTATAACATGAAACATATGAATATAAAAACAATATTTGAATAAGCACTTTACTACATCGGGTACCATTTCATAAAATCACGAACGTTCTCAACTACAAAATTTTACCTAATAATATGCGTATTATTTGGATGTTGTTTGTTCATCAACGGTACAAAAAAAAAGATTGGTATAATAAAATAAGGACAAAAGAACTGTCTACTCACATCAGTCTAGACAAATAGGGAAAACTGAGAAAACCATAGATTCAGGTCTCAGCTTTTTTGCCAGACTGGAGTAGTATCCAGTATAAGCCAGTAGCCATTTTATCCAGGCTTGGCCACTTCAACGCAGTCTCCTATATTCATATAGAGCTAAGTATGAACTATGAAAAAACATGATAGGTAGATCGATGGGTTTGTGATCCAACACCAGACAGCACTCTTTTGACTCACCAGGTATTATCAGTTATGCTAGGCTGAACCACTGAACTGTCCTGAAAATAACAAGCCTGAAAGTAAAGGCGATGGTATCTCCCTCTAAGTAGAGGAACTCTTATGATAGGTAGAATTGGAACCTTTGTCTTTTCCATACCAGAACTAACGCACTATCTCTCGACGCGTGTTTTGCTAACCGACTTAGCATTGTCTGGAGATTACTTCAATTAAATCCTCACAATTAATTAAATTAACTCTTAGTATTAATCATTGTTTGTGTGTTGGAAGATTGCTCGCGTTCACCGAGAAAAATCTTCCAACGAGTCGCTTTGATATCAGTGATATGAAAAATCATGGAGAAATCCGTAAAAAAATCTGTTTTCTGGTTTTCCGTTAATCAGCTGTCGCCCCCATACGAACGACAACTCTCAGAAGTTGAGAAACTTGTGCGAGCTAAGGACTAACGAGGCCTTACCTTTTAACGTGTGATTCCTAACCATCATATCTTTGAATACTTGGAAGGCTTCAACATCTTGAGCGATCATCAATATGGCTTTCGGAAACGAAGATGAACAGGCGACCTTCTATCGCATATTACCCATATTTGGAATAACGCAATCGAGAAACATGGAGAGTCTAGAGCTGTTGCGCTTGATAGTTCTAAGGCCTTTGACCGTGTGTGACATGAGGGTTTGCTGCCAAACTTTGATGCTATGGCTTGTCAGATCATTTTTGTCTCTTGGTGCCTGAAAGAACATTTCCTGCAAGTGGTCATCGATGGATACCTCTCGATTACTTTCGTCATCAACGCTGGTGTTCTCCAGAGATCCATATTGTCTCCAACACTATTTTCATTGTATATCAAAGACTTATTGAAAAAAAAACAAGAATCCAATATATTGCTTTCCTGATGGCGGCACACTTGTCTCGTCATTCCATATGGATTCCAGGACATCGGCTGTAGGAGGTTGAGTATCTTAATGAAGATAGATCTAACCGAGAGGTCGAATTGGGGTGGAATTAACTATGATCAATTCATTGTCACAAAACCCCGACATCCGATTTCTCGAAAAAGATAAATGTCTCTGAACCAGATATAATAATGTCAGGTCAGACAATTCCACTTTCTGCTTCGATAAATTTGTTCGGGGTTAAAATGGACACCAATATGTCTTGGCACAATCATGTCGCTGATATTGCAAAGGCTGCTTCTCAAAAGCTTGGAACTCTGTTCCGAACCAGAAAACTGTACACACCTCAATAACTTTTGATGCTTTATGAAGCTGAGATCATACCTTTTTTGGAGTATTGTTCTCATGTATGGAGCTCTGTCCCAAAACATACCCTGAAGTTGCTGGATTCCATCTAGAAAAGAGCCATTCGCCTGATTGAAGACGCGAACATCATGTGCAACCTTGATAGCCTGGAACATCGAAGAAAGGTTGGAGATTTGTTTCTCTTCTATAGATACTTTCACGGTGCTCAAGTGACTTGGCACGTTTGATTCTACCAAGAGCGGTACATATCAGAAAAACGCGACGGACTGTGGCTGCTCATCGTTTTGAGGTTCAATTCAGTACACTTCGAACTTCACTGTTTAAGAACTTTTTCATTTGGAGAACTGCGTTTATGTGGAATACACTTCCTGATAACGTTTTTCCAAATGAATTTAATCTCCAGCGAATCATATGCAACGTGAATCGCTACTTTTGCACAGGCACGGCTCTTAAAGCGCCTTAAGGATTCTCCTGTAGTGCTTGTGTTTTTTCCTTAAAAAAATAATAACATGAGAGAGTAAATAATGGACTGTTCATAAATCTCATTTCACATTTTTCGATATTTGAAATTTCAAATGCATCTGTAGTTTATACCGGTCTCAACAATTTCAAGAGGAGTGTCTTCTTCATTCTGTGGCATGTTGAGTGGTACTAGAATAGACTCTGGTCTACGAAACCGAGTCTTCGTCTTTCTGAAGAGTCGGTAATTTATGTTGAAATAAGTATCTCCCTGCCAGGGCCGTCGCCATGGACGGTGATAGGGGGAGCCTCCCCCCCTGCTTTTTCGATTTGGGAAAAGTTGGGATAAGTTGGGAAATTTTGCTGATGGAGTTGGGAAAATTTGGATTCCCTCCTCCCCTCTGGTTTTTCTTTTCGCTACGGCCCTGCCCCCTGCCATTATTTTTCTAAAACTACAAACTATAATTTATCAGGTAAATTGATTTTCAAGACAGAGATGTCTTTGTTACATGTAAAGAACAAAAATCAGGCTGTCATTAGTGACTTTCCCCAAAAAAAACTCGAAGTCGATCCTTGCAATTATGGCAAGTTATTTTTCGACTGTATAATCAAGTCTCAGATTGCCTTTCGCAGATTTCAACTCTTTCCAGCCCGTTCTCGACTTGTTTCAAATAATTACGAACAATTCGTGCGAAAGGTGTGTCGTAGACAACCAATCCAAAGTGGAGGCTCGTCCTCTACGTCATGAGATTTTGTCGCGGTAAAGCATGACATATATCAGTCACTGAAAGTGGTGCATAGTTGACTTAAAGCCGCGTAAGTGAGTTATTGATATTCAATCACTTATTGTGATATCGCGATTTTATTGTACTGAGTGAATTTAAAACCAGTATTTTTATTCGTAGGAATGAAATTAGTCTGAGAATTGACGTGATCCGGCTCTATATTCTCGAACCAAAAAGTTTGAAAAATGAAAAATCGTCTCACAGATCTTGTGCTTCTCAGTGTGGTGCTAACATGCATTTTCGAAATTTCAATGTCTGATGAAGCACTGCCTCCACCTTGTTCCAGGTAAGATTTTTGAATTCTGCTTCACCTCAATCAATGCTTTCTACAACAATTCTTTTTCTGTCGAGAAGTCGCCAATATTCTATGGCTTCGAGTCCAATTTAAGTGTTTTTCTTTATTTTTAGTGAAATTTATTGCCATGGCCGCTTGCTGCACACGATTCAGAGCGCAAAAATTTACGAAGACTCCAAAACATTTGTAGATATGAAAATGAAAGTGTCTCCCAAGGAAACGCTTCACTTATTCGAAGAATTCATGGCTGAGTTCGAAGATAAACCGACCAGAAACGATGTTATAGATTTCGTGAATGAGAATTTTGAAAAAGCTGGACAAGAATTTGGTGACTGGATGCCAAGTGACTGGGTTCCCCATCCTAAATTTATTGATGTAATTGGAGACCCCGTATTGAAAGAATGGGTGGTTGACTTGAACAGCATCTGGAAAAAGCTAGGAAGGAAAATGAAGGATGAAGTCAAAGAAAACGAAGATCTGTACAGTATAATTTGGGTCCCAAATCCTGTGATAGTTCCCGGAGGCCGGTTCAGGGAATTTTATTACTGGGATTCTTATTGGATTATTCAAGGGCTTCTTCTTTCGGAAATGCACGATACTGCGAGGGGAATGTTAGGGAATCTTTTGTACATGGTGGACAATTACGGCCTCATTCCAAACGGTGGTAGGCTATATTACTTGGCAAGGTCACAACCCCCTTTATTACTGCCCATGATTAAACTGTACCTGGAATTCACGAACGATATCAATTTTATAAAGGACAACATTCATATCATGGAGAAAGAATTCGACTTCTGGATAAGAAATCACACGAAATCTATACTCGTTGATGGAGTCAATTATACCCTAGCCCTATATGGAGATAGTAGCACTGGGCCTAGACCAGAATCCTACAGTGAAGACGTCGAAAGCGCCTCTGTGTTCAAAGACGACGCAAAGAAGGAAGCATTCTATTCCGAATTAAAGGCAGCCGCTGAATCGGGATGGGATTTTTCTAGTAGATGGTTCGTCACAGACGCTACAAATAAAGGTAAGTCGAGAAACATCAATATATTTGGTGAATTAATCTCTTCTGGTTTCAGGTAACCTGACAAATATCAAAACTAGATCAATTGTTCCTGTAGACCTTAATGCTTTAATGTATTGGAATGCTGCCATACTTGCCGAATTTCACGAATTACTAAATAACAAAAAAAAGGCTGCGAACTACAGCAACATAGCTTCAGAATGGATGAAGGCCGTGGAGGCTGTACTGTGGCACGAAGAAATAGGATCATGGCTAGACTACGACATAGTCAACGAAGTGAGAAGGGATTACTTTCACCCTTCCAATATAGCGCCACTTTGGACCGGGTGCTACGATATTACAAACAAAAAAAATATCGTAAGGAGTGTGTTGCATTATCTTGAAAATAAAAATTTTTTGTATCCCGGTGGTATTCCTTCTACCGTGGAACATACTGGGGAGCAATGGGATTTTCCCAACGCCTGGCCACCCTTGCAACACATCGTAATCGTGGGACTTAACAACACGGGAGAAGATCACGCTGTCAGACTGGCTTATGAAATTGCAGAGAAATGGATACGATCCAATTACAAAGCATATAACGAGACCAAAGTCATGTATGAAAAGGTGAGTGATTTGACCATGGCAACACAATTTTCTGTTGTTATAGTAATTGCGTGTTTGATGAGCAATTATTTATTCACTTTTCCTGTTTTTATAACCAAACGTGTGAGCTTAAAATATAATCTCAGTATTTTTTCAGCAGGGAATAGTAAATAAAATTAACATCTGTCTAGTTTCACTGGAGCAGTCACTTGCTAATAACCAATGGATTTTCTCATTTGCTTCAACTCAAACAAAGACAAAAAAGTGTCATTATCATGAATTTCTTTAGAAAATACATACTATGGGACATACACTGAAACTGAATAAACAGTAATAATAATAATAATTCAAAGCCCGTTAACTCACTTTAATTGAAAGATTCAAAAGCATAATGCCAAATTTCCAGAATATAAATAAAATAAATAAAAACACAACAAATGTAAAATTGACAATTTCGAAAGGAAATAAATCATTTCCGTGTTCTTATAAGTCTTGCATCATGAACATTAAGGATATCCTGAATGAAAATAATGACTATTTATGTGATAGAATTTGTCGATACTTGATGAAAATCCACAGCATATTCAAGTAACACTGTAGTGTGAGATTGTGGTACTTGTCTGAAACTTCATATTGGCCAAACGGATAGAACCTTTTCTCGGAGAATGAACGAACATATGATTAGTTTTTTGAATGTGAAGGCCAATTCCACATTTGCACAACCATCTTTTGATATCGCCGTTCAACCACCACTGTGAAGTATCATATTTCGAAGAGAAACTCAGTCTTTTGGAATGCTTAGAAATCATTACATTTAAGAATTCTGAAAATTTAGTGAATTACCAAATAGAATTGAGCTCTTTCCCTCTTCTGAATCTGTTTTCTAATGTGAAAATCGATTATTAGTTTATTATATGCCAACTTGATGTGTTGGTAAAATTTGGTGACCTCTGCACTTTCAACAAACTTCCTTTCCCTTTCGCATCTGAATTTTCTACTCAATTCGTTTGTTTTGATACTTAGCTTAGCCGGCCTTTAGGTTCACGACTTTCACTGACAGACATATGTCAGCCATTGAATTTCAAAGCTTTGTACCAATAGAAAGATACGTAAAAGTAAAAATCATATGAATTTTTTACGTTTTCTCAATGCCTGAACAATAAAACATTCACTAAAATCTTTGTAAAAACATTGATGCAACTAACTGAAGATAACGTTGAATATCAATTTTTAAAATTGATTACAAAAATAGTTATTCACGTGATGATAGATGAGAACTTCCTCAATGGGTATAAATCTTACCATAGTCATATTATTGATTTTTCATAATATCTTTACGCTTCTACGTATGGATGCAACCATTTTAAAAATAAAATCAATGATAATTCAAATTAAATTTCACTGTAGTGTTAAGAATCCCTTGTCAGGATGTTCAATTAAAATCTCATTACATCAAATATATGAGGATTGAAATAAGGGCAATGACGGAATGATTTATTATCTGTCTAATGAGTACAGGACAACTATTATATAGTGCACAAAAAGAAAGAAAAATTCCGTAATATGTCAATTTTTAAGTACTCTCATTTCTTCTTTTTGGTATAAGTGTCACCATTGTCGTATATCGTATAATGTTGAAAAAATATCTTTGAATTTTGCATATGAAGTATTTTGGATCATTGACGCAATCAATTGTTACAGTATGATGCTAGTATTCCGGGAGGTCATGGTGGAGGCGGTGAATACGAAGTTCAAGAAGGCTTCGGTTGGACAAATGGAATTATAATGGACCTGCTGTATAGGTATTCAGATAAGTTGACAGTTGTTGATCCCCGACCTGCTATTTTGGCACCTCATGTTGTTGGGAGTCCTGCTAATTCCTCTTCCAGTATTAACTCGATAACAACAGCGCTGATAGCGTTATTGGTATCATTATCGGCGGGATTCATAGGGTGAGGTGTGTTGGTTGATTTTTGGAGATTTTTGAAAACTTAAATCATGTTTTTTTAGGATACTTTTTCACCAGTGAAACTTAGCATGTGGGTGATATTAACTAGTGATAGGTACATAGACTTGGCAAAGTACTGTTGAAGGATAAGAAAAATTTTCAATTCACAGCTCATAAAGAAAATTTAATGTTGGGAACTATTCTGAGCGGTTTAAAAAAAAATAGAAAACAGCGAATGGAAACACTACAAAGGATATATGTACTAAATGTAGTCTAAAGCGTTAACACGCCTGGTAACAATATTGATTTGTGAAGAAGTATATCTCTCAAGATTCAATTTTTTAAGGCCTCGCTTCACTGCTCTGCTGACTATTACGGCATATTTAAGTTGATTACTCAATTTCATTGAATTTGATAATTCTGAACTTTCAGAACTTTAGAAATTCTGAAACATTGTGTTTTAAAACGCTAAATCATTCAATTACTTGGAAAGTATGCCGTGGGAGTTTGAGGACTGATACAAATTTATACATGGTGGTCAAACGAAACAGTCGTATGAAAGCTTCTTTTCGAGTTTTTTGGCCGTGGTCTATAGATTTCATGCCTGACGTTTCGTCTACTACTTTTTCATGGTAAATTTCGAACAACGGGCCTTAGAGCAAGCGACTGCAAAACCGTATTGTTGGCTGTGCTATGTTATCAAGGGCAGATCCAGGAGGAGGTCATGATCCTCCCCCTCGTGAGTCCAAAACCTAGGTGGATTACTAATTAAAATTTTTGAACATAATATTTTTATATATTTTTTTATCACAATATAGATTTTATTCAAGTACTTAAAATATTTAATTAATTCAATATAATACTTTGACGGCAAACGAATTATTCGGGTTTGAACGCGTCGAAAATTTGAATTTTCCCGCGTCACCACCACGGCCGCCACCTTTCATATGTCAAGTCACATTTCGTAAGGCACTTGTGCGCGCTTTGTTTCGACTTACGTCCAGCTAAACCTAACCTCAATCGGAACAACTAAACTTCACTAATAAAGTACCTACTAAGTTGAAAAAACTTTAAAATTCTAATATATGTAATAGAAGACGTAAAAGAAAAATTTATGAATTGATTTTGTTATTGAAATATAGGTAGGTGTTTTTGAGTACAGTACTTATATTTATTGATGAAGTACCTACTTTTGACTTGTATCTATTATTATCGAATTTAAATTATATCTTCTTGTGACTTGTCCACGATTATGTGACCCCCTGGTGTTATCGAGGTGTTAAAATAACGGTTTGGTGTTGGGAAAAACTCAGTAATATTCATTACTACACCAAAGGTTCCAAACAGTGCATCATAATTACAGAAAAACGAAAGGACCTGTCGATTTTGCTTGAAAGGGGACAAAATTCGTCACTCTGTGACTTGCACCCTTCAAGAGTTACCTCAAAATATTTTAATAGCGTTGGATGACATCCCTTAAATTCTCTTTACAGAAATCTAAAAAGTACAAAATTTTACTTTCTGTTACATTCCAAAAAAATTTCGGAGTGACTTGACGGCATTCGTCGACAAACTTCATATACGGTCGGTAGCCCGTCGGTTCGACGTGGGTGCTCTGTTCACTCGTTCGAATTGACTGCCGTGTTGGACGGTGGTTCGAGCCCAGACTGAACGATCGATTTTCACTTGCTATCGTCCAACCCGTGTTAGGAATCACACGTTGAAAGGTAAGACCTCGTTAGTCCTTAGCTCGCACAAGTTTCGACTTCTGAGGGTTGTCGTTCGTAGGGGTGCGACAGCTGGGTAACGGAAAAACAAATTTTAAACAGAACAGATATGAATATTGAATAATACACAAATCACTATAGTGTTTGGGGTTTCGAAAATCACTCAGTTTTCCATTGGTTGTTGAGAATAATTAAACTAGATTTGATTATTACATGCTGGCTGTTCACTTGAAAAAGTCATCCTAGGGTTTGATCTGCAACAACCATTTGCATCTATTGTATCTTAAATTGTTTAAAGGTCAAAGAAACGAAATCTGGGCTGGCAGGCCGTAGTCGAATGGAACCCGAAATATCAAACGTTTCGTCTGCTACTGAGGCAGATATCATCAGGGGTATGTGCGTTGACTGCGAGGACGAAGGTTATATCTCGAAGTCTCAGTAAACTTCTTCATCATACTCACTTAATAACTCCTTCTGAAACAATACTTTCTTAGACTTCAACAAGACCACCTTGCATAAATTTGTATCAGATTAACATAGTGCTGCAGTGTTGCTGCAAATTTTAATCGTCTTGACCTCCGATACATCGGATATTATTAACTCAAGATGTTTGAACCTCTGAAGAAGCCAGACACTGGCGCCAGCGAAACGTCAGTAAGAAATTCCAAAAATCGACGGTCATCAAACCCGAATAAAACTAGTGACACTTCGACAAACTTTTCTGTGGTAACTTTACAAAAACGCAAATCAACTAATCAAAATCCTGGTTCTATTGGTTTTCAAGTAGATTGCCTAGTCATTCTGTACACGTTGATAGTATTATGTAGAATGTGATGAATTTTTAATTTATTTATATTGTCCCACTATTTTACATTATATTGTACCTGCTAGGGTAAGTGTGGTTAAGGCATATTTGTTTTAAACTAATATCAGGTAGAGTATTGAATGATGTTCGTAGAGCTGTCCAAAAAGTAGGTTATTGAAATAAAATGACCCTAATTTATGCTAACTGGTGTTGTATTTTTGCTTCTCTAATAACTAATACTTGATAAACTCAACTTATGCTTTCATTTATTAGTGCTATCAAAGACTAATGTCAATTTTCTCAAAAAGTGTGAGGATTTAGTCCGAAATTTCATCTAGAGTTTTTATTTTGATAGGGAGGTATGATATCAACTATTGTGTGGAATACAGTTATATCCATACAAGCTAAAGAATAACGAGGTCTTACCTTTTGATTAAAATGCGATTGCTAGCTAGGATCAGAGTGGAAAACGACTCAGCATCCTATTCAGTGACTGGATGAGAACAATTAACCACTAGCCAACCGGTTACGGTCTGACCGAATGATCCAGCATTTGATCATTTTTTTCTATGCCTAACCTAACTCCCTATACAGTGAAAATTTTTACCTACTAAGTATAATCAAGTCACTGTTTTATATAAAATTCAGAAACTATCAACACTGGGATTGATGAATATTTTGTGGCGGATGCTATTTGTATTTGAGAATATAGCAAACAAAATTATTGTTTGCTGTTTGCTGAAAACCAGAGCCCAAATACATGCTAGGCTGAACCACGAATTCATTGCTAGACTCAACTCAACTTAAAGGGCAAGCCTGAGAAAGTGAGGGTTCTGGTTTTCAGCTATTGCAGTGAAAGCTTCAGTGAAAGACAGATGGCGAATCTTGTCGAAGGTCGAAGTCGCTTGGCTTTGCAGCTAACCGCCTTAGAGAGCCGTTTTGATATTCGAGGGGTAAGTTCACTGTCGGTCTCATAGATGGCGTCTCCGTAAGGGGAGATTGTCATTGTCCTTACTTCTTATTGAATAGTTTGAATTTTCGTCACAGGGTTACTATAACGTCCCCTGAAACAGAATCTTTCATGCTTTGTTATAATGAAAAGCATTTTTCCTGTTTTGGGTATGTATTTAAGTACTCGTCGAACTCGGCTTGTATATCTCTTAGCTCTTTGAGACATAAAACTTCAAATAAGTCCATTATCCGCCACACCGAAGATTAGAAAATTCACGGTTGCATAATTTTGAGATAAACGGCTAAATACAAATGGGCTAAACTGCAGGTCGAAAATAAGGTAAGGAACAGAATTTTTCACACCTCAGTCAAATATTCGTGATGATAATCACTCTGTAATGATTTTTTTTTACTTTGTTATTTTAATGATACTCGTAACAAGATTTTCTCGTTAAGGTCGTCGGCCTACAAACACTTCAGTGGAAGGCTGCATATAATCTGGGTTAATATCATCTCCTATTGCAGAGTATACTTCTATCTTTACGTTTCGTTAGATTTTTTGTGTTAAATTCAAGGGGAAACATTCCGCTTCATTATGATTATGATGGCAAAAACAATATAAAGATAAGTGAATGCCCCTCTCACTCGTATCTAACAATTTATTCGAAATCCTTCACGGTGAGAGTATTTGTATCTCATTGAGCAATCAAACAGTCCTACAGTGGTAGGGTAGGTAGATAAGTTTGAACTGAGTGGGTCAATTCGTACCTCCAGTGCAAAACGCTAGGTTGCATTGTGGCTTACACCTATTCAAACTCCACCAAATGAATCCAGTTTTTCAACGAAGTCGATTACCCTTTCAGTGAGTGACTTTTAGGTCAGCTGGCAAGGGAAAACTCTGCCGAACGCTGAAACCTGGTTCTGCCCAGTTCGCGACGGCACAGGCAGAAACCAGGGCTTGAATTTCCTTCTAGAGAATGAACCACCAAGGTTGACACACCGTGGTATATTTCCTCAACCTAGTGAAGATCTGATCGGTGCTCAGTCTGCGACTACTAAATCTTTTATGACGCATTTCAGTGAGATGCCCTCTGGCTACAGGGTACTAACTTCACCCATCTTCTGGAATATCGACTATGGTAGCCATAATGGCGTACTGAAAAAATTCCAATTGATTGGTCGATATTGAGGTTGACGGTTGTTCAAAGTGCAAGATTCGCAACTTGATAATCGCAGCAACCTTCCCATTTGAGGAAATCGCTAATCCTGACGATATATTAAACTCAGTCATGCAGTACGTTTTTGGCCTCAGGTTTGGGTGAATCATTATTTGAGCGTAGGCGTTTGTTGATTTGCTCAATGGGATTCAGTTTCCTCTCTCCTGGCTGTACCACCTAGCCTCATAGGTATGTTAACAGGATCAAGAGTTGGACAACTGAAAAACTCTCGCTCTTGATCCAATATTACAGAGGGGACAGTTGGGGTCGTTCAATCGACTCTCTTCTTCTCTGTAAACCTACGGTAGGATTTTTCGGTTAACTCATAGTCCTAGCCTAGCTAGGCTCTGCCATCATGGCAGAGACGGCACTGACGAGCAGCTGGTTTTCCAAAATCGGTCTGTCGGTGGTCATGTTTTAAGATAGATATCAACGCTTGCCGCTGTATTCTCTGGGTCGGAATCTTTGGGTACTTCAAGATCCAAGAAGAGTTCCACGAGTAACTAAGGGAAGAAAGTCCATCACGGAAGAGTTCCGCATTACAGTTCTACGACGAGAGAGCGCCCGGTATCTTGAAGGTTCCGATAGTAACCCCGAGTGGATCTGAACCAATCGATAAAATGTCTGACAGAAATAAATCAAATGAGCTAGTTTCATTTCCCTCAGGACAGTATAACAGATCCCACGCAGGGCAATTTTATTTTTAATTGACTATTTCCGAAGGTAGTGTTTTTTATATTTACGCCTGCACTCAGATCATTGTGGCCAAATTTCCGCCTAGAAATTTTAGTTTTATCAGTGCACCGATGAGAAAATTAGGATCGAAAAGGATAGGAAAGAGAAATGGGAAATTTCGTTTCGTGAATAATGGATTATAAGGAAAGGAAAGGTAAAGGTTGCGACTGTGCTCGCTAAGAAGGGAACAAAAAAACAAATTGAGGTGTTACTTATACTATATCTGATATCAAGGAACAAGCTTTTCATCTGATCCTTTCATGCTGAATGAGTTACTACTTGGTTATCTGAAAAAAAAGTAAAAACACGATGTACGAAAATATATTCCATTGATCTTCTTAGATAATATAAAATTGAATGCCGGTTTTATGATCTGCACTTTGAAATGATCAACATTTAACAATTAACTCTTGTGGAAGACTAGAGTTCTGGACATAAAAATATAATTAATGAGTTAGTTAAACCAGAGTTGTGCCTATTATCGGTCGTTTCAAAAGTTTTGTCCGTTTTAATGTCATGTGTTTTTGTAGCTTCATATTTCAACTAATATTTATTCTACTGTGTATACAGATCGATAGATAATTTTGCACTCTACATATTGATGGTTTTTTTTCCAAATTTTGATGTTTGCCTCTTTTCAGCTTATTACTATAAGATGTCGTTAGACGATTTTCGGACAGTTTTTCTCTACGAATTCAAATTGAACCAAAGCGCTGCCAAAACACCTCGAAAAATTAACCAGGCATTTAGCAATGATAGTGTTAATGAATGTACAGTTCAACGTTGGTTTTAGAAATGTCGTTCCGTAGATTTTACTTATTTATTCACAGCATTGCCTATTTTTTACAAAAT